ATTTTCAGAGGCATCCAAAAATAGGTTGACTGTAATTGAATTAAAATGAAAGTAAATTAAGGGTGACATACAGTACTTGGATTACCCAGTACAGCTCTAGCAATCTGACTAAATTGTTTAAAATCAATATCTAGGCTTGTGCAGGAAAAAAAAGGATAACTGCATCAAATACTGAAGAAATATGCTACAGAATACTGCCACCCTGGTTCACAAAGCAGTCCCTGAAAAATTAGTGTCTTCATCCAAAATTTACTAAAAATATGAACTCCATTCTGAATGGCTTCACATACCATATATCCATTTTGCTTTCTTTTGCATTCCTTTAAAAAAACCTCCATATCTTCCCAGGCCATTTGGATGGAATTTGTTAATTGTTATAGGTTCTTATTAAAAATAAACCAGAATCTCTCCCATTTGCACTGGCTAAATTCAGCTAAGACAACATAGAGCGGACCTCATTATATCTCCCTGCAATATGGCAGAGGAGCCTGTCAGAAAATCAGAGGTGGCAGTAATCCAAATTTAGGAGTGAATTCCACATAAATATTGACTGAATACACAGAGATTCAAACTCAGGCTTTTAAGCACAATATACTCATGCCCTCTGCATGGATCAATACATCTGTTAGTTCCATGTTCTCATGGTCTTCACTTTGGTTTAAATGTGAAGTACCTTCTGCTTATTTATGTAAAAATGCACATAAGTCATCTCTGTTCCTCCTCCTTCTTCATGAAAAAACTCACTCTTAAAGATTTTCCATCACCCACATCTCTCCCTTGAAATATGGGAAGAACTACTCCCGTCTCCTTTCACATTTCCTCTGTTGATACTGGGATTCAGTGCAAGGTTAAACTATGACATCTTCCCTGTTGATGGGCAATAAGGATGGGATGACAACATCTTCTTGTTCTTTGTATTATTCCCGCTGTATTGTGGGGTCCACAATTTTGTATTTCGCCTGCCACATCACCTGGTCTGCAGCATCTTGCATGTCTGCATCTCAAGCGTTATTTTAGGTTTGATGCATAATGATGACATTGAAATCTTAGCCAACTTGTCGCAGAGTCTGATGGCTACCCTTATCCTTTCCCATTCAGGTTTGGGACTGGCAATGATGGAGTTGATGGGATGATAACATGGGAGCAGATATTCCCCTTCCTCTTTCAGAGAAGATAATGGGAAGAAAAATCCTTCTACCAGGACAACTGTTGCCCTATTGAAGGATCATGGCCCTGGGTAGCAGCTCCCTGGGATACAATGCACATTCTTCCTGAAAAATAAAAATAAAGGTAGAATAGGGGAGTGGAATCTTGTAACCAATGTTTTTCATCCTTGCGGCTAGTTCCAAATTATGCTGATGGCATTATTTGGGGGCATTTCTTCCCTAAAATGAAGACTCCAAAGGGTGTGCTGGAAAAGCTTCTGCAAGACAACCACTGTTGTCTTTTTAATCCCTTTTAATTCTGCCCCACCTATTCAACAACAACAAAGCTTTGCCATTTGAGGACCCCCTAAGGTCAAATAAAAATAATAACAACAGCAGCAATTTTCCTTGGCATTAAACAAATGACAAATAGGATAGGAAAGATAGAAATAGATGAAAAGAATTAATAGAGATAGTTTAAGGCTTTTTAGTTCAGAAAAAGAATTTCAACTTTTTCAGAACTAGGAATGGAATTCTGACATTTCTGGAAACATAAGGTTTATGCCACATAATTCTCAAGATAATGCATATCATTCTCTTTGGTTTATATTATACCTTTGGCTTGTGTTATACTTTTCACTTTCCCTATTTGGTTTTCTATGCAGTTTTAATGATGTCTCTTTGATGTTTTGCAAAACCAGTAACTTAAAAATTTATATGGCCCCAAGCAGCCATAAACTGCATTTCTTCCTAAGCTTCATAACAACAACATTGTTTATCTTTTTTAATGTATAATCATTGTGTTTTTATATTCATGTTAATTGTAGCTGAGATAGCTCATCAGCAAGAGGTGGTGAAAGAAATTATTCAGAAGTCTTTGCCATGACTAGTGGTATTTGCTTTGTGCAAGTTGATGGCTTCTAGATGTGTGAGATTATAACTCCCATGAACTCTATTGACTACACAAAATAGGAATTATGGGACAAGGTGTCCAACACATATGGAATTCATCTGCTTGGAGAAGACTCTAGTATCATTTTAGTGTGCTTACTTGATATAACTTGTGTTTTCAGTTTTCAGCCATTTCTTAAAAATAAAGTGAATCATTAAAACATACAATTCGATAGAAGCTGATGGAGGAAATTAGTAGACTACTTATGACTTTGAAATGGACCAGATTGTTTTCCGATAATTAGCAAATAGCTTGTTCATTGCAAAGCCAGTTTGAATTTGATTCTGCCCTTATCCATAGGTGTCTGCACACTCTAGATGCCTTTCAAACTGAGTCAACTTTGGGTTGGACATCCCCAGGTTTCGTCATAATGGCAATTTTGTCAGCAAACCAGAACCCTATAGTGGAACTGGATATAAACTGCTTAAATAAAATATGGAAAAGATGGTTTACTATCCTCTCATAAAGGACACTGTATATATGTGACATGGCTTAGTAAGCCCCTTTGCAGAAAATAATTGAGGATACTATGCGTATGTGACATGGCTTAGTACAGGGGTGTCAAACTGCCGGCCTGCAGGCTAGATGTGTCATGCCGAAATCGCGCCAACCCCATTGCCGGCAATGGAAAAAAAGTCATGATACGTTGCGACATGTCATGTGACGTTGCGAGTTTGACACCCCTGGCTTAGTATGTCCCACCACAGGACATAATTTAGATAATGTGTGCATTTTTCTTTCCTTAAACCAGGCGAGCATAATGGAAACCAGGTGAGCATAATGGAAAGCAGCTGCTTTGATTCCTTTAAAACAGGGGTGTCAATGCCAGCCCGCGGGCCGGATGCATCATAGCGAAACTGCACCCACCCCATTGCTGGCAATGGCAAAAAAGTCACGATACATCACGACACATCGCGTGACGTTGCGAGTTTGACACCACTACTTTAAAACATCTCCTTATGTCCTTAAGAAATGACTCTAATAGAAGGAATATTAACTCTACTCAAGGCCAGGAGGATGTTGATTTATATTTCAAAAATGTCTTCCCTACATTTTTTAACCCACTAATCATAATCAGGCATTCAATATGCAGGAGTCTCAAAGGCAATTTATTATAGTTATTGACTAGATAGACTCAGATAAAAATAATAAAGAATCTTGTGTCACTTTAAAAACTAACATATTTATTATAACATTAGTTTCCATGGTCTAGGACAGGCATGTCAAACTGGCAGCCCACGGGCCGGATGCATCACACCAAAACCACACCCACCCCATTGCTGGCAATGGGGAAAAAGTTGCGATACGTCATGCGACGTCACGTGACGTCGTGAGTTTGACATGCCTGGTCTAGGAGCTTGAGGCAAGTGGTCCTGAACTGGAGGGAGAAACATTCATTAAGATTTAAACGTTTATTTTTAACTACATGTTTGTATTGCTGGCTTCCAAGACATTCAGGCAGTATCCGTTGCTTTCTCCTCTTTTCACACCATCCTTTATGGATGGATCTGAAGTCAATGAATAGTGCTGTAGTTGGGGAAATCTGATTCTTTCCAATATTAGCCCAACACTAATTGCAACAGCAGTGTCATTGTTGA